TATTATTGGCTGAAAAAGGATTGAAATTAACCGACGAAGATGACGACAGTATTATTGTAGCGGATGATAAATTTGTATTTATTGGTACAATGAATCCTGGTGGAGATTACGGGAAAAAAGAATTGTCGCCGGCGCTCAGAAATCGTTTCACAGAAATCTGGTGCGAACCGTGCGTAGAATTAAACGATTTAAATGACATAATAATACACAATCTTGTTGATAAATTATTATCTTACAAACAACTTATCGCAAAAGCAATATTGTATTTTATTAAGTGGTTACCAACAACTGATGTAGGAAAAAGATTAGTTGTCAGTATACGTGATATTTTAACGTGGGTACATTTTATAAATACATGCACGTGCAGCGAGAACACTAAATTAAATATTAGTGATGCGTATTATCATGGTGCATGTTTGACTTATATCGATAGTCTTGGATCAGGATTAACGAGTTTAGAAAGGTAATTATTAAATGATATTTATTTTTATAAATGTAAATAATAAAATAATATTTGAATTTTTATTCTTTTAGATCGCCTAATTTAATGGACTTCAAAGCTGCTGCTTTGAACTTCATAAAACATCAAATAAAAAATACATTGCACTCTGAATTATCAGAAGAATTTGGTAACAATACCAATGTTTCTTCTAATGATGAAACTAATATGTTTGGTATCTCACCATTTTATATTACAAGAGGTTCCCAAACCATACACGAAGATATACAGTTCACATTTTTACCAAATACTACGAAATCAAATGCATTGAAACTTTTAAGAGCATTGCAGTTGAATAAACCAATTTTATTAGAAGGAAGTCCGGGTGTCGGAAAAACAAGTATAGTTAGTGCACTGGCTAAAGCATCGGGACATGCATTACTTCGAATTAATTTGAGCGACCAAACGGTGTGTTACTTTACGCAAAAATATTTTTATGTTACTTATAATTTATTTTATTTTGTATTTTATTAATAATTATATTTTGTATTTTTTTTTAGGATATTTCTGATTTGTTTGGTGCAGATCTTCCTGTAGAAGGTGGTCAAGGTGGCGAATTTTCTTGGAGAGATGGACCATTTTTACGAGCTTTGAAAGCTGGCGATTGGATTGTATTAGACGAATTAAATTTAGCTTCCCAATCTGTATTGGAAGGTCTTAATGCTTGTTTCGATCACCGAGGAGAAATTTATATACCTGAACTTGGGAAAACATTTTCGATAAAGTCAGGTACTAGATTATTTGGGTGTCAAAATCCATTAAAACAGGGCGGCGCTAGAAGAGGTCTTCCTAAGTCATTTTTAAATAGATTTAGTCAAGTAAGTGCAATTATAATTAACTATATCATTAATTAAACATAAAATAAATGAATTAATTGAATTAATTGTATTACAGGTGTTCATTGATTCTTTGACTGAAAGTGATTTAATGCTGATTCTAAATGTACAATTCCCTGAATTATCTGCTGAATTAATTCATAAAATGGTTACATTTAACAGTAGATTGGCATCAGAAATTGGTGTAAATTGGGGCTTCATTGGTTCACCATGGGAATTAAATTTGCGAGATATCAGTAGGTGGTGCGAATTAACAGTTAAAATATCAAAAGATTGTTTGAATGAACAACAAATGTATTATAATCCTGGAAAGACGGTGGAACTTATTTATGTCAGTCGAATGCGTACACAAATAGATAAAGAAAAAGTAAGATAAGCAGATTACTTTATTTTTGTATAATTATTTTAATAATATCTCACATTAATAATATATAACATAAAATAATACATTCAGGTTCGAAAAACATACGAAGAACATTTCCCGATAGAAAAATATCCACTTCCACCATTGGAACCTTCTGTATACATTTCAGAAGATACATTTTATGTAGATGATGTAACAATACCTTTATCACCAACCACAATTTATAGTAATTCCAATTTGTTAGTACTGAGGGATCAATGGACGACTTTGAAACAATTAATCCAGTGCGTTCAGATGAATTGGATGTCTATACTTGTAAGTAATTTTCTTTTAAATATACAGTAGGATCTTCATTAATGGATTCGTGTTTATCCCATCCCTCAGTTAAATGGTTTATGTTTATCCTACGTTTCGTTGTCTTATATTTGTTAACAAACGTTTGAAGAAAGTGGTGCGATTTTAAATTAGCCGTTACAATACTTAGAATAAAGCGACGATGTAATAAAAGAAAATTTATTACTGATGAAAAGTTTGGATAAAAAAGATTTTTTAAGCACAAATTTAATATAGCAATTAAAATGTGCACGGATAAAAATGTAAGAAGAGATAAATATTATTTTGTAATGCATATCCTATACAATTTTTTATATATATTCAAACACGTTTTGTGGAGAATAACGTATTTGTATTTATTTTTATTTATAATCTTATGTTTATTTCATTATAGGTTGGTTCATCAGGATGTGGAAAGAGTAGCGTGGTTCGATTGCTAGCTAACTTAATAGGACAAAAGCTGAAGTGCATTGTAGTTAATTCAGCGATGGATACAACAGAAATTTTAGGAAGTTTTGAACAGGTTAGTGATTATTTATAATTCATTATTTATACAGTGCCCCAAAAGTCGCTTTAATGAGAAAAGAAAAGTTAAACGAAAAATCAATGTTGGTTTATTATATCCATTTATTTATATTCATTATATTATTTAGAATTATATTACAATCAATATTCATTATATTATTTAGAATTATATTACAATCAATATTCATTATATTATTTAGGGCTATATTACAATCAATATTCCTTATATTATTCAGGATTATACTACAATCAATATTCATTTATTATTAATAGAATTATTATAATTTGGTTTCTTATTTCAAGATATGAGTCTCCGGTTACAGTTTTTATTTTTTTTAAATTATGAGTAATGCTATAATTTAAAAGATTTGCTAAAAAATAATTTTACCATTTTTTTTAGTTCGGTAAAGTAACTTTTGGGATACCCTGTATATTTATAACTAATTTATTGTGTTTGAAATATTTTGTTAATACATGTTTGACGGAAGATACAAATCCACGTCTTTCATTTTTTCAAGTTTTTGGTTTAAGACTAAAACTTTTTCTTTTGTTGATCATTCGGATCAAAAATAAATTGTGGTCTAAATGTTAGCCATTAATTTAAATTAAATTTTAAGTTTTTAGCATAGAAATGATTTCGGTGATTATGGGGGGGTATCAAAGTAGTCAAAAGTCAGTAAATAAATTATTTCACGATAAAAATTCACATAAATTAAATAAATACGCACACGTACAGATATTACAAAATAATTTGTATTCTGTACTTGTAATATTCGTCATTTATGTATAAAGATTGAAATTTGATTTTTTTTAAATCTTCATCTAATTATTATTACATGATCGTGTAATAGTTATACATATATATAGTAATAGTTGTACATTGATATGCATTTGACTGCTTCGTAGCAAATCGTTTGCTACTTTAATATCAGTTTTTAACATTTTCTTTTCTTTTCATTTGTTCTCCCTTTTATTAATCAATTTATTTATATATTCTTGGTCAACTCGTATTTTCTTTTAATCATTAACACATCCGATATTTTATTTTATAAATATTTTTCATAGATATTCGTTAATTAATCTTTTTAATTGATTACAATTTTCTTATAATTTTCATGCTCTTAAAGTATAAAAAATTTAAGAAACACAAAAACCAGTAAATTAAAAAATACTTCTGCGAATCACTGTAGTTACCAGTTGTATTCCGTAAATGACTTATTTATACAAGATGTTTTAGAATACGTTAGCATAATTTCAGGGATGGTTTCAATACACTAAAATAAGAACCAAAGTTCATACAACCATATATCCGACATAATTTTGTTTCCAAATTATAGCAGATTTTGTATTATGTGCGTTGTTACATGGTTTTTATACAAAACTGTTCACAGTGGCCACCCCACCTAGATTTTTCTTTTATAACGTAATCTATACATAATATAATTTTCAATATATAATTAACGTAGTTATAATATTTTTTATTTATTTTATTTAGTTTTATTTTGTTGTTGCTGAGAGCAAAATTCTAGGACATTAATAAGCGATCACAGATACATTTAGATATAATAATTAAATCGTAAGATATAATTTTTTTCCTTAAAATACTATTAATTTATTTACAAAGAAGGGAGGGGAAGATCGTTTTTTTTCCTTTTATTTTCATTTATATATTTTTTTTTCTTTTTCTTTTTCTCGGTTGTACGAATATCTATATCATATAAAATGACGTAAAAGCAAAGTCAAAAAACTTTCGTTAGATCTATCAATGAAAATTTCAGTCTGTTAATCCACTGATTACGTTTAATGCGCGTATTTTGTTTTGTTTAGGATTAGATTAGTTCGTTTTAATTGTTACGATCGTACGTGATATTTTTATTTCTTTTTTCTTTTTGTTCTTTTTTTATTTTTTTTTTTTTTTTATTTTCCATTATCGATTCTATTAGTTACCGTTCTATTAAATGTTATACAATATAAATTGAGTGTGGAAGTAAATTTACAAATAGTATGAAACTATCGATCAACAGGTTTATCTCATTGTGCAATGTATAATAACATCGGCCGATAATGATTTAATTTAACATTCAATAGCACGCTTAATAGTGAACATTATAAAAGCTATCAATTTATAATATGATGTTATTATATATAATACTAATTTATATTTATTTATTTATTTATATTATATTATATTATATTATATTATTAATACTTTCGAAACCCCCCAATTCGAAGTTTCTTTTATTTTATGTTTATCGGTATAGTTTATACTTGATTAAAATTAGTTAATATTAATCTACTTTAATTTCTTTTCATTCCTTTTTTTTTAATGTTTAAATTATTTAAAAAAAAAAGAAAAAATAATACATCGAAATAAATTAAATCGTACTAATTTTTAGGATACAATTATTAGCATAATTTTTTTTTTTTAATATAATTGAATATCTTCGAACATGTTTCTTTTTTATCTTTTTTTTTTGCGAAATAATAATGGGATTTTTGTTCGTTTCTTTTGTTCTTCGTTAAAAAAAAAGATGTCCAATACTTTCGTGTTCTCTTGCGGTAAAATAAGATGAATAATATTATAATAAGCGTACTTTTTTCCATTCTCTTTTCCGTTTATAATTTTAAATTTGATTTTATTCATCCCTCATAATCATTTCTTTCGTTATTAAACATTTGAATAAATTTTGTTATTGCTGTTGTATGGGTTGTTCTTGGTTAATTTTACGCGAATAAAAATTTTTGTAAAAAGTTATCATTCGTTGAATGCACAAGAAGAGATATAAATAGTATGTTTCGTGTATTTCTTTTTATCTGCAAGTATTTTGCATACACACATATAGAATTATTTATCTAACTATAGGGTTGTATAGGGATACTTTTTTTTGTATTTTCTAATATTATAAATATTTTTTTTTGTTTTAAATAAGTTATATACGACACACACACACGTATTCCACATTAGATAATTTCGGAAAGATTAAAAATGTTTCGATAAAACAATCATTTTAATATGATAATTTTATTTCTGTTTCGATTCGTAACGTATTGACTTTCCATTAGTTTAATTAGATTCTACGAATTTATGGATCTTTAATCGATTAGGTCTTCATGATAACGTTTTGTTCTATAATCCGATTAGAAAGATATATTCATTTCTTACAAAAAATAATATATTGGAATAATTCATTCATTTTAATGATGTAGTTCTTCATTAATTAGACAAGATTCTTTTATATATATATACAGGGTGTTTTGTAATAAACAGGATGCTTTTGTGTTTCTTGTTCATTTCTGAAGTGGGTCCCACATATTACGAAACATTCCGTATATCATATATAAATACGTATGTGCACACATATAGAAATAAAATCGTATATATATATGTCATATTTATAATAATTTAATATAGTAGATGAACTTTTTTAATCGTTCGGTATATCGCTGCTTGTAGGACTCATCGTCATTTGTTGATCGCTCAATTGGGGTGGTGGTGGTAATAAAAGACTCGGTCTTCTTGATAATTCTTCATCGTAAAGACTCGACGTACTACTCTTCGATCTTGAAATTAATCTCCATGGATCTGGTTGTAATTGATCGCCCTGTTAAATTAAAAAAAAAAAACAAAAAAAGAAACTCCATTTCAAGGCCGGATCACATTTTTTAATGCAAATTTATCACTCCAATCAACAATAATTTTATCGATCATTATTTTTTTATATATATATATATATATATATATATATGTTGACCAAATATTTATATGAATTTATTATCAAATTCTTAGCATCAATTCTTTTTATTTGTTTTCGTATGATAAAAATTAATAAATAGAAACACTTATCTATTTATTTATTTATTACTTTTTTTTTTATATTTAATAAGGATTAGAATTTGTTGATAGATCACAGATATTGTTTGTAGAAATATATTATAGGAGTGAAAATATATTTACAACGATAAGATGTTTAACGGTCGGTGGTGAAGGTGCTTTCAAAAGTGCAACATCGGTGAGATCACAAGCAGCTGCAGATATAGGTTGTACTAAGGGTGGATCCGGTGGTGATGGTACGTTCAATGGTTGTTCATATCTTGGTGACTGCACACTTTGGATAGTATTATTTGTCGTACTACCTAAAATCCAACGTGCTATGCTCTCACAACAGGTACAGCAAACATCTGACATTCCTTGCCTTAAACCTCGATGCAATGTCAAAAATAAAGCTGGATTTACGAATGCGTGTACGTAGGCTATATGCAAAGTGACCTTTAACAAGAACACAAATTTTGGTGGTTTTTTTTATACTTATCACTATTAACTTCGAATTTAGTTTCGAATATTTTAAATAAAAATAAAGAAATTTAAGACAATATTTTATTTATGGTGAATCTAAGAAAATTAGATTCACATTTTAGCATTTTTTTTAAAAAAGTTCAAAATATAAAATATAACAAATGTTTTACAGTAAGTAACATACAAAATTAAGTTGTAAAAAGATTCTTGAGTTAATTTCAAGGAAGACAGATTGCACATTTTACCTCGTAACCAAGTGCGTTTCCTATGACAGGATGATGCACTAGCGTGACGAAAAATAATGGTCCCCAAAATATCACGTACGCTGCTGTAATAACCAGGAACATTTTTACCCTTTGTACACCTTCTTGTTCCATTCTTTTTAAATAATTTCGCATCTTTCTGTGCTCCTCTAAAGCACTGCTTCTCTGAAAATAAAAATTAGACAGGTTGTTCTTTGATTTGATGATAGGAGCAAGCAATTTTTATTGTGTTGATTTATAAATAAATTCACAATTAGCGCTGATTAAATAATTAAATTAAAAACTTGTTGACGATGAAACATCATATTTATTGATTTGATTAAATAAATAAACGTCAATTTATCATTGTTTATTTTAAACGAATCGATGCAACAGAAATTTGTTTAATTTGTTCAATCACTCAAAATAAAATGCTTCGATTAAAAATAATTAAAATTAAATTTTACTTTTGGTGTAACTGGAGTTCGAGAATCGTTCGTGTCATCTTCACATTGAACAGTACTCGATCTTCTTTGATGAGCACCGGTGACGTTGACCAATGTAGTAACAAGACCAGCTACACGAACCTAAATAAATATTTAAACAAAAATATTAATCGATCATTTATGATATTTATAATTTTTTTCTTTTTCTTTTTTATGACATCGTGTTAAAAATCATTTTAAAGGAAAGTGGTACATGTGATTACGTACAGCTTCTACATTAGCTTTAGTCAAATCTCTGTGTAGTTTTCGTAAATGAAATAGAGTAAGGGCCACGCAAATGATATTAATGACAATCCAAAGAACATTGAGAATATAGTGACGAAAGGGTCCATGCACCAATGGACAACTCGGTGCATTGTGTCCACTTTCCGTGTTAGCTGCCAATGCACCGCTTAGAAACGTAGGACCAAGATTTATGGTTATGCTAGCAAACCATATCATGAAGGTACCAAATAGTACGCACTGAAAATCAAACATACATACATAAATCAATAGACATCACCAATTTTTGAACGTTATTTATCACGTTTCCTTGTTATCGACGTTTAGAGGAATTATTATATTTTGTTTTGTTTTTTTTTTCTGTTTTTTATACGCGAGCAGCAAGGTATGTGGAAGACAAAAACAAAATCAACGCATGTTCATTGTTCGGTCATTTGTTTTAATCAAACATGATAGGAGATTGTAGAATTTGTATCGAAAATTTGGACATGGTTGTTAAGTATAATTAGCGTTTTCACGTGTTCATAGCATTAGGATTAATTTATCGTTCGAAGTTTGGGACATTTGTCGAAATTGAATTTCAATTACGTTTATTAAATATCAAATATAAGCCAATTGTGGTTTGTACTCCAATTGGTTATCAAATCGATTATCGTGGAAACCGCGAAACGATTGGATCGGAATGTTTGATCTTTTTTTTAATTCAAATTTTTAATTAGGATGATTATAATTCGGTCGTGATATTATCGGATTACCTGCGGCGAGTCCATAAGCAAAGGAGTTGTTAATTCAGCTTCCTCGTCGCTTTCTGGGAATACGGGACTATCGTTTAAAACAGTTGTGAGCATATTCACTGTTGAAACAGTTACAAGTAGTAGGAAAGCTGTCTCGACTAAAGAGCATTTGTTAACTGGTTGACAATTCAAAATACTCGAACCCAAGGGCAGTAATATTGCAGCTCTTGCACAATCCACCATTGCTTGATGGAATAATAAGCCCTGAGACCATCTGAAAATTCATCTTATTTGTAATTCATACGTTTTATATGAAGGATCTATATTTACGTTTAATCTCAATCCTCTGAGTGTATGCTAGAACTATGATATGTGACAAAAGTAGGCCAACTACTGTTAGGAATAATACTCCAGTTATTATGCGTAACTGAATACTTAAATATTATTTGGATAATCGATTTGTTTAATCTGTTAAAATCTTAGACAAATGTTACATTCCGATTATGTGATTTTAATTTTTGATATTTTTTTTGTCGAATCGCGCGATTGCTTGTATTTTTTTTTCTTTTTATTGAAATTAAATAATATATTTTATTAATGTTTTTTTTTTGTTTAACGTTGTATTAAATTGTCAAGTATATATATATATATATCAGGTTCACTTATTCGCCAAGAGAATATTATTTTTCGTTTTATCAAACACATCATTTTTTGCTTAGTTTCCAAAATACCTTCGTAATTGTTGCTTTGCTAATATCAACGACATGAGTATAATATTTGCACCCATTCCAAGAGCACCAAGGCTAAATATAACGGTAGCTTCTGCAACACCACCGGGATGACACTGGAACACTTTAGTAGCGTTGGATGTGACATTTCCGGAGGCACCTATGCCGAACCTTAAATTTGCTCCTATCATTGCCACCGCTGAGCCTGTAAAAAACATAACAAAGACAAAGTTTTGATCGATTTTAATTAATCTCTTCGAAATAAAATTTCTAAAAAACCATAATGCATAAAAGTGACTTCATTTAGGGATCAGTATTATTCAACATTTCGGTTTAGCAGTATTTTATAAACAAATAATCAATAGAATTTATATTCAAATATTATCCTCTTAATCCTAATCAAATAAACAGGAATCTATCAAAAATCTATTATCTCATAAACACACAGTATGTCATTAATTTTTATTTTATTTTTAATTTTACAAATCACTTTTCTAATCTTTTACCCGAGTTTATCAATGACAATATATCTGAGACGTGTATGAAGTAGATATTTTTTTTAATTTTTTCCTTTATCAGATCATTACCGTTCCTTTATTACTAGTTGTAGACAGAGAGGAGTGGCGTCTGACTGTCTGCTGCCCCAGCTATTACCATTACAGTCCAATAACAAGATAATTTTTTTTATTGGGACACGATCCTTTAGTCGTCCAATTGTTTTATTATTCCTTTTATCCATTAATCTCTCTCTCTCTCTCTCTCTCTCTCTCTCTCTCTCTCTCTTATCCCCCTCTCCCTTTCTTTCTTTCAAAGCTTTCAGGTAGAAAGCCATTAGCTCGTTATTACCAAGGACCCTGTACTACTAACTTTCGAGTTCACCTATTATACTATTACAACAAAGGATCCAAACAGCTGTATATTGTCGCCTATAGCTAAATGACTCGTCAGCTTCTCGACTTACCCTTAAGGCTTTTCATATTATTCTCACGTATTTTGCGAATGATTGCATTATCGATGAAACCGAAGAGAGAATCTCGGCTATTTCCATCATCCAGTGAAATTTCTGACCACGTTTTCGGTATGCTCTAATCAACCACTTCAGTTACTCTTGTTAATAACCGAAGGCATACTAAACTTCTGTTGCTATTGGTATTCTAATCCGTACATCTATGACTCTGATTTTAATCTAACTTTAGATGTTAAACAAATTATTGTAAACTTGTTTCTGTTCTTTCTTACTTCTTTTTTTTTTTTGTTTTTTTTTTGTTTAATGTTCAGTAGGTTATCGAATTTTTCTCGTTGTTTAACAAGAGTTTTATTATTAATAATAATAATAATAATTAATATTAGTTTTATCGGGGTTAATGTTTGCTATTATTACTTTTTTACATATTTACTTATGCAGTCTGACGACTGACTTTAATGATTAATTTTAAAAAGAATTTGTTGAATTTATAATCATTTTTAGTATTCATAATAAGGATTAAGTTTATTCTACAATTAAAGTGTAAAAATAGAGTATACAAATATCGAACTATTCATTGTTGTATTTTGCGTAACACGTTCGGTAAACTGACACGAAAGGAATACCAAAACGTTGTCTATACTGTATATGTACATATGTACTCAAAAGCTTATGCACTTTTCTCTAGCTTTACCTTTAAACCAAATTCAGAGACGTAAGATCACTCTGTTGAATAATTGATAGAGAATCGTGCTAGAGAGAGAGAAAGAGAGTCAAAGATCAACCCCCAAGTGGAGGAATATACCTAGGAATACTCAGTGAATTTAGTTTATATTCTATTTGAATAATATTTCGTTAGAAATTAAACAAATAAGTTAATTAATATCTGATAATAAATAATATTTATGTTCAAAGTGTAGAAAAATTGTTGTAAATTATTTTGTGATTTAATTTACAAATGATATTCGTTTGAAATTAAAATATAAGAAATGATAAAATTTGTCGATGATACGTCAAAAATATTTCCGTTTATTGTTGTTAAATTTATTAGTAATTGTGTGTAGTAGAATACGTAGTGTAAAATTCACGTAGGACAATGCAGGGGCGGAATAATTAGTGACTGTTACTGATGTTCTACGGTGGTAGAATTGAATTACGTGTTGTCAACATGAATATGCATTGACCGTCCTTTTAGCGACGACTATTGTTTCCTGCTTGGACACTATTAAAAAACTTTTCTCTCGCAGTTATGGAAATCATAATGTTTGATGTAAAAAAGGAGAATGAAAAACAAGTACCACTAAATGTTACTAATTATACTCATCAATAAGTTTTCCTCTCAGTAATTTTCCTGTTAATTGGGTGAGTATTTTTCATTATTCATATATTTTCCTTTATTATTTTTAATTAATGATCGGTATTTTTATACTACAATATATTAATGCATATTATATTTTAAATTAACAATAATTATGATGCAGTCCTGTTTTGGTTAAAAAAGTATTTTATTAATTAGAAATAATTTTTCTTTTTTTTTTTTTTTTTTTTTTTTTTTTAGATTAGAAAAAAGAGTTATAGGTTTTCCAAAAGTTGGAACTATTTTTTTTTTATTAGTATTTTAAAAGAAATAATTATTATTCATAATACGAAATATATACCATCGTACAATCTTGAATTACCGAAGTGTATTATGTCGAAGTGAAACACAATGGTGGTTCCTTTTTTTTTTTTTTTCCTTAATTAAAATGAATTTTATTGAATTAAAAAAAGAAAACAAAAGAAATATAGGGTTAAGGTTTTTCCACAAATGATCCTATTTATCAAAAAGATTTTATTACGGTTCATAAGATGAACGAACGAAGGAACTGAACGATAGAACGAACAAAGTTTAACGTTCAGGACTGAACTTTCGATCCTCTTACAGAATTGAGAAAGTTGAAGTGCCAAACGAACCGTTTCGAGGAAGGTCTTTTTACCTTGCTGCCAGTTATACCTAAGATGCCTGAGTATCTTCTTTACTCAGAGTTTTTCGTGATTCGATAAACTTCAAAACCGTAGTTATCAAATTACTTGAAATCGAACTAACCTTACAATTAATCAATTTACTTTGGGTAATCATAGTCAACTTAATATTTTCTAACGTAACTAATTTTTATTGTAATCTTAAATTAGATTTTATTCAACACTGAAAATACACAGATATTCAATCAGATATTCATTTAAATTATAAATATACGAATATATAAAATGAATTTTATAGGATCAGTATATTAATTTGTATTATTACAACCATTATGAACCAAGTATTTTTATTTACTTAGAGTTCGTAAATTATAATTTTAGGAGATCTTTGATTAAAATGATATTTTTCTTTACACAAATTTTAAAGATAGAAAGGATCAAGCTTTATATTAACATAGTCAAAATTATGAAATTTTTTAACGCGTCCGACATTTGTTTATTTTATAATTACTTTGAGTAATGCAGAAAATGCTGTAAACAATTCTATCGTTATAATTAAAGTAATGACATTTTTTAACACGTCTAATATTTGTTTATTTCATAATTACTTTGATTAAACAATGCAAACAAAAAAAACAGAACTAACAAAAGAATCTAATTTATTAATTTACTTAATTTCTAAATTAGATTTGACGTAATATACTAAATCAATTTAGTATATCTTTGATCTTAAAATGGGTGGATACTTGTTTACTCTAATTTTAAAGAGTGAGTGAGATAGATAATGAAAAAGACGAAGGGTGAGAAAAAGAGAGAAAAGAATGAAGGTTTCGTTAGCATAGTCAAAGTAAATCCAATTATGCATCCCGAAATAAATTCGTTAAATCGCCGCGAGCTTTTACGTTCTACCTACTATCCTTTTAACCCCATTTTAGATACGATTGCAAAGTGCTCAGAACCTTTTCGATGATAAGTCCCAGATAACGAAAGACGATTCGAACTGATTTTCAAATTATTACAACGTTTCTCAATTGGTTATTATATTTTAAGACATTATTATTATTATTATTATTATCCTTCGATCAAAAATAATGATTTGAAAAAAGAAAAATAAATTATAACTCTAAGAACCTGAGACCTGAAGCTGGTTAAAATAATTGTGTTGTTGTTTATGAAAATGACATAGTTGTAATATATCTGTAACACATAGTATAAAGTTTGATCAAACATTTTCCATCCGGAAATTTAGATGTCAAAGTTGCTTTCTTGCTGTTATAAACCAATCAATGGAAAAGTCGATAAAATTGAACAAGACCTTCCCCTTTCCCCTCTCCACCGGTAGATATTAGTAATCTTGATATCGGTAAAGAATTAAAAATCGATCGGATAACAGTTTTGAACGATTTGAAAAAGGTGAGATAAATAAAATATGTATTAAAAAAAGAAAAAAAAAAAGAGCAAACGTATTTTTCTTTTTCGAATTGAAATATAAACGAAACTTTTGGCCGATTGTTCATTAATATTTTGAAAAGAATAATGGGGTCTTTGAAAAGTAGGTTTTTTTGTTTTTTTTCTTTTTGTCTTTTTAAAAAGCTAGTTTTAAGCGAGCAGCACATCGTATTAAATCGAAAGTTGCTTTCACGATTTTTTTCTATTATTTTAATCAAACTTTCATATATTGCATGGTGTTAAATTAATTCGTTGAAATGACAAAACTGGAAGCACACGATTGAATATTCATCGAGCTTGTTAAAGCCCTTTAATTAATGTTATTATTCATAATGTTAGTGATAGAGGTGAATTGGAAATTATCGAAAAATGAAAATTAATAATAATAATAAAAAATAATGTTGTGTTAGAATATATTATTAATTAACGTTGAACTTTTATCAGCAACGAAATTAGAATGATGTTCTTATGCATATATATGTGCATGTATGCATGTATGCATGCATGTATGTATGCATGTATGTTATATACATGTATAGGATCGTTTAAGCCAGCAAGTAATTTTGGTGGATGGCATCAAAGATGTTAATTATCTTCGCTTCGCTTTAGTAATTGGCTCTCGTGTGCTTCTTGATATATGCTTCTGGCAGAATCTCATAATTTTCCTAGATGATTGATCAATTAACAATTTTTTTCATTTATAATTATACCTTTGATATATAATGTATCATCATAAATAAATAAATACAAATATTATTTATTTAAATATATTTAATAATAATTAATAAAGTACACACACACACACACATCTCTCCATTTACGCGAATTTT